CTGAAAAATGAGGAATCAAATATAAGACAGAAGGAAAATTACGTCACATGACAATTCTCTACACTTACAGATAAATGTATGAAGAAAGTAAATGAAAAACATCTATGTATTGTACTCCATTTTTTTATAATTTTAAAACAATAATAAAAAAACTTCTAGATTACATATCAAAAAAGAGAATTTAAGAACATATGCAACTGTAAAAATAATCATGATAATCATGTCAAAAGCAAGGATGACAATCAAGCCACATACATAATCTACTTGAATTACACATGTTTCATGTTTCCAATGAATGCTCAAGACCTCCTACATTGCAAATACTACAATATTTTCCAAAGGGTGTAACAACATAAAAAATCTATCATTCTTACATGCATACAGGCAAACACACAAACACAGAAACACAGACTAGTACACAAACACACACACTCATGAATAAAAAAATGCACATTTATTGCATATCACAGACCATACTATACTTATTTGTTCACTCAAAATGCCTCTTTATGTTTCTACAGTATCTAATCTTATCAACCATGGCCTGATGTAATAGAAAGAAAATGCAATAAGCCACAACAATGAGGTGGAATGAAGGGGTGTGCTCATATCAATGGAAAATACTCTCAATGGGGGAGGAATTAAAAAGTATCATCTCACAAATTTTAGTAAAAAAAATAAATAACAATCTTTTCCGTAACTTTTCTTCACAAGTACCAAGACCTTCACTCAATCCTTTCCAATTAATTCAACTTACACCAGCATCAGCCACATAATTTTCAATTTTACTTCCCAACCTTAAGCCAATCCTCCTTTTGGACAGACTCAAACTCTTGAGACGCAAAAAACACAGGAGCAAAAAGGCAACAATTTTTCCCCAATATAACTGCCACCACAACTGAACCTCACATTTCCAAAACAAGGCTCTCGTTCTGCTGTCTCTCAATCTTTATCAAGTAGTTTTGCGTTAATCAGGCCTTCCAAATGGTGAAACTGAAAAGCAAAAACATCTCAACAGCCTTGGTCTCGGAGGGAGCAGCTGTCGACAGTCGCTCATTCCAAATGAACACAAATCACTCTAATTCACTCAAGCCAAATACCAATCAGAGGCAACAACAGGCTATGCAATCCAACTCAGGCATCCTCATAAACCCTTGTAAATCTTGTGATCCTTGAGCTGCAATCCTGCAGTAAAACATACACTGATTTAGAATAATTTTTGCCTCAGAGGAGGAGGTGGGGAAGGAGTAGGAGCAGAAGAGGAGAAGAGGAGAGGGGGAAGAAGGGGAGGAGTGGGAGCAGAAGAGGAGGAAGAGGGGGAGGAGTAAGAGCAGAAGAAGGGAGATGAGAGGAGGAAGAAGGGGAGGAGTGGGAGCAGAAGAGAAGGAACAGGGGGAGGAGTAGGAGCAGAAGAGGAGAAGAGGAGAGGAGGAAGAAGGGGAGGAGTGGGAGTAAAAGAAGGGGAGAGGAAAGGAGGAGGAGGAGGTGGAGGAGGAGGAGGGGGAGAGAGGAGAAGAGGAGGAAGGGAGGAGGAGAAGAGGAAAGGGGAGGAGAGAGGAAAAGGAGGAGGGAGTGAAAGGAGGTAAAGGAAGGGGAGAGGGAGGAGGAGGAGGAGGAGGAGGAGGAGATAAAAAATGAAATAATGAAAATAAAAAATAAAATAAATAACAACCTTACAAACAACAATAATAAAAATAACATTAATAATATCAATAACAATAATAATAATAATAATAATAATAATAATAATAATAATAATAATAATAATAATAATAATAATAATAATAATAATAATAATAATAATAATAATAATAACACATTAATCATAATAAAATTCATAAGAATAACAGACTCTTAAAAATGAAAATAAAAACAATAATAATAATATAATAATAATAATAATAATAATAATATAATAATATAATAATAATAATAATAATAATAATAATAATAATAATAATAATAATAATAAAAAAATAATTACAATAAATGTAACCAAATTCATGATGGCACATGATAACACCTTACAAACCACAATAATAACAATAAAATTGATAATATCAATAATAATAATAATAATAATAATAATAATAATAATAATAATAATAATAATAATAATAATAATAATAATAATAATAATAATAGTAATAGTAATAGTAATAGTAATAGTAATAGTAATAGTAATAGTAATAGTAATAGTAATAGTAATAGTAATAGTAATAGTAATAGTAATAGTAATAGTAATAATAATAATAATAATAATAATAATAATAATAATAATAATAATAATAATAATAATAATAATAATAATAATAATAATAATAATAATAATAACAATAATAATAACAATAACAATAACAATAACAATAATAATAATAATAATAATAATAATAATAATAATAATAATAATAATAATAATAATAATAATAATAATAATAATAATAATAACAATAATAATAATAATAATAATAATAATAAATAATAATAATAATAATAATAATAATAAATAATAATAATAATAATAATAATAATAATAATAATAATAATAATAATAATAATAATAATAATAATAATAATAATAATAATAATAATAATAATAATAATAATAATAACAATAATAATACACTAATTACAATAGAATTCATAATAATAAAACTAATAATAATAATAACAATAATGAAAACAATAATAATAATAATAAAACAAAAATAATAACAATAACCATAACAATAATAACAACAATAATAATAATATCAATAATAAAAATAACATCAACAATAATAACAATAAATAAAAAACAATAAAAATTATAACAATAATTTAGCAACATGATAGTACCAGTAACAATAACAGCATGATAATGATAACAGCAACAAGAAAAGGAATAGCAGCAACATAGATAACCATGAAGAACAAGACAGAGCCAAAGGAAAAACAATGACAGAGAAGGGGAAGAAAAGGAAAGGAAAAAATAAGAGGATAGCACAGGAGAAAGAGGGGGAAAAACGGGATGGCAAAGGATAAAATAATAATAAAGAAAAAGAAAGAAAGAAAGAAAAGGTAAAAAAGATGTTGGTAAAGGAAAAATAAGAAAGAAAGAAAGAAAAAGAAAAAGTAAAAAAAAGAGGTTGGTATAGGAAAAAAAAAAAAAAAAAAGAAACAAAGAAAAAAAAGGTAAAAACATGTAGATGGTATGGAATAAAATAAATATATAACAGAAAGAAAGAAAGAAAAAATAATAATAATAATATAAATCAAAGTCAAAATGCAATTGAAGAAGCACAATCAATAATCAAAACAGAATAATGAGAATAATAAACAAGAAAACAAGGATAAGAAAAGGCATATCTGTCTTCCGCACGCGGCAAGGGTGTGGCGCAAAACCCTAGCTGCATAATGATACAGCTCACCTCTTGATCCTCTTGCTGTGATTTAACACTGACCTGGTTCTCCTACCGATGGTTACAAACAACGGATGAAGGGAATAGTTTACCATGATTATTCTCTTTAAAAATACTTTGATAAATATATAGCATCATTCGATAAAAATGCTTAACAAACACCTGAGCAAATTTCAATTAATTCTATTTATATATACATAAATAGAATATATATATATATATATATATATATAACAGAAATAGAAGTCCTTATCATTCTGCATTTTAAAAAACAAAAAACAATTTTCCAAAAAATTAATGATACAAAACAAAATGCTAAATCAATGTATTACATACCATTCAATTTGAAATATCTATGGACCTAACATTCCTAATTTTCATTCCTTCTTTCCTTTTACCAAAAGTTGCAAGCAGCAAGAAAACCAATATACTAAACCTAAAACCAAATTCTCTCACTCTTACTCTAATACATTCTCAAGCACTCTCACCCTCCCTTTCCTATCAATTATGCAAGTGCTCGGACATTACGTACACTTCTTATAATAAGCTTTTGGTTCCTGAATACTATCCTAATGTCTACTGTAAACAAAATAAGAATAAATACATTTCATATTAGTTGCAGCTCTGTAATATATTCTATCAAGTTATCTAATTTAGGAATCAAAAACTGCTACATTCTTTTTGTGTGTCTGTGAAAATATATTTCATGTAATCTAATGTTTAAAAAGATTATCAACTGGATAAAGAATTCATGTATAAAATACATCTAAAGCTAATTATAGAAACAACTCAATAGTAATACTACCATATTGGGAAACTTCATCAGCAAGTGATAAACTCTTCATTAACAGTGACGTCAGATGTAATTCTTTACATTTACTGGGTGTAGGGATGCAGCACACACATCTGCAAGCATGCATGCACACTTGCACACTCATGCATGCATGTCCAAGCATGCGCACGCACGCACGCACGCATATGCACACACACACACACACACACACACACATATAATATTCATATTACTTAACACAAAATAAAACTTTTCTGTGTCTATAAGAAGTTCAAGACCAAATTACTTTTGAATTCATAACTGAATAATTCACTAAATCTCTTAGTATACCTTACTTCACTATACTTTCTGGCAGAACCTATGAGCTATCCTCCTTATTCAGCAATCAAAGAGCAATCTTTTAAATATCTCATGCTCGTTTGAGAAGAAAGAAAGAAAAATTAAATCTTTTAACCATCATCATTAATTACAAAGGTTTTGTCATCCCCAATTAAGCTTGCTCACTTATTCTGTGTACTCTTATTATGCTCAATCTCCTCGATCTTTCATTCCACATGTCACCTATCACTTTCAGTTCTTAATTCACCAGCCATCACTCTTACACCTGATTTTGCATCATGCCATGTACAGTAACGTGCCCTATACTGTCCGATCTGGTCACATTCAACCATGGCATCCAACATCCATTTCTGGAATTACACATCACTGTCTTACTTTCTTTCAAAATGATTACAGTGCATCTTGGCTTCTTAAAGCAGCATAATACTAAATACAAATACAATACTGTAGCCCATATCACAACACAA